TTTAGGATACAATATATGTTGCTGTGTTTTCTCAACAATTCCTGAAAACTCCAAAAGAAAAGGTAATAATAATATGAAGCTTAGACTCATGGTAATTTTCTAAAAGTTATAGTTCTCAGAGTGCCTAAAATCATAAGCATGGATAAGTGGGTGTGGTGGTGCATACCTGTAATCCCAGCACTCTGAGAGGCTACGGAAGAAGGATTGCAAATTCAAGTCTATCTTGGATAAATTAGTGATTTAGCAAGACCTTGTCTTAAACAAAACATAAAAAATAGGTTGCGAGGGGTAGTTTAGTGCAAAGGCCTGGGTTCAATCGCACATCACTCCCCCTACACATCCAAACCCAGAAGAGGTCATGTTTTATATTACTCTTTCACAAGAGCCATTTAAGAAATGAATCTATAGCTAGGTGTGATGATGCATGCCTGTAATCCTAGCATTTGGGAGGCTGAGACAGGAGGATCACTCTGAGCTCGAGGCCAGCCTGGGCTACAAAGTGAGTTCAAAGCCAGCCTGGACTGCATAGTGAAACCCTGTCTCAAAAACATGAAAAAAACAAAAAAGAATGAATTTACGCAGGGCGCACTGGTGTACACCTGTAATCCCAGAAACTTAAGAGGCTGAGGCAGTATCACAAGTTTGAGGCTAGCCTGGGCAACTTAGTGAGACACAACATCAAAATAAAAAAGGGCCCAACTACTGCCAAAAAAGTGAGTTTAGGCTGTGTTTCTTACTGTAATCCTTAAAAGGTAATGGATATACTTTCAAAAAATCAAAAATTTCAGATGTTGGAACTAATTTGATTCAGTTTAATGTCCTACAGCTACTAGGTTAAGCATTTTCCCCCAAAGAAAACACAAGTGAATACCTTATTCATTTACTGAGCAACAATGTAACATTTTCATTAAAATGTATGTCCACAGTTAAATTTCCACGATAATCTGAGATAAAAATAACAGATTTTTTTCATTTTAATGGACACCTAGCCCTCCAAAAAATTTTTAAAAAAGAAATTGGTTAGACAAAATTATGCAGCTTTTGCCAGTCTCTCTTGGGGCCCTTGGCCTTGGGGACCCAGCCCTCATGCTGTGAGGAAGCCCAGGCCACATGGAGAGCACCTGGTCCTCAGCCCCATCTGAGTTCTCAGCTGAAAGCCAGCATCAACCTGCTACCAGCTACGTGGCGAAGCCATCCTCAATGTAGATATTTCAGCCCCTTGTCAAGCTGCCACAGCGGATGCCACATTGAGCACACCAACCCTGCTTGTCCTTATACCAGTTGCAGAGTTGTGAACAAAATAAATACTTGCCATTTTTTCAAGCTATTAAGTTTCGGGGTAGTTTGGTACATAGCAATGGATAACTAGAAGACTTTGTATACTTAAAAGAATGTTAAAACAACCTCTCACCTATTCAGTGCAGATTTTTCAGCAGGTCCCCACCTAATCTCTAAATGTTCTAACATATGGATCGATTTTTCACAAAGCCACCCTTTCCACTGATGAATAATTCTGGGAATTATGTTAAGTTCTATCCCTGGCAATGACCATTATTTTCTAGCCTCTCTTATTCAGGACAGGCCTGTACCTTACTACATAGTGGCAAAATTTTTAGCACTATCCCACTTTACAGGCAAGGAACCCAAAATGTACAATTTGGTAGCTTTACCCAAAGTTACACAACAGATATTTGAACTTCTGGCATAAAGTTTTTGTTTAGTATCATTTCTGTGAAATGTGACACAAATGTAACCAATACAAGGTGTAATAGAAGGGGCCGGGCATATAGTTCAGTGGCACAGCGCCTGCCTGACAAGCACAAGGTCCTGAGTTTGATTCCCAGTACAAAAAAAAAAAAGTGTAATAGATACACTAGAGTTTAACAAATCACAACTTTCATACTTATACCATAATTGGTTAGAGGATTAATCCTTATTTCTATTATTTAAGAGGTGGTATACTGGCATGGATAACTGGAAAATGAAAATCTCTTTTTTTGTACTTCTGTCTCATTTTTAACTTAAATGTTCCATTGTAATTCCAAAATTCCAGTAAGCTCTTGGAAGGCTGGGATAAGTATTATAATTTTAGGTCCTCCTTGATGTTTAAACATAATATATACATTATATATGTATGATATATAATAATTATATATTTTACATATAAAAACAAATGTATAAAATATATATAAAATAATAATAAATATATATATAATAATTTGCCTACCTATGGAAAGCAGCATACAGATCAATGAATATAAAAGCATTTCTTTCCAAATGATTTAAACACACAGATCTTACAATCCAAAAATATTTGTCATTTCAGTGCAGTAATTGTATAGTAAGCTTTTTTCTTTTTCAAAGTCAGCAGCAATAAAAAATGAACTTCTTCCTCTATTGACTACAGTACGTCAGTTGCCATGACGACACTTAGTCCCCAAACATTCTTTCTAATTGAGACAATTTCTCTTTGCTTCAGTCCCCTAAGACTGACCCAGTTACCTAACTCAAAACCCAAAACCCAAGAGGTGCCCTTTAATGAAGACACTATGATTACACAACCTAAGGAAAATTTAAACACCACTTTTCCAAGTTGCAAGGAAACTTCAGGCAACTCATTCTGTTTTTAATACCTAGTTTTACAAGTTGAATGGTAATTATTTGAACTAACTTTAAAACCATACATAAGATACTCGATGACCACATTATGGAACCCTAAATTTTTAATATAATTTCTGATAATACACATGCAGCATATGTTATGTTCTCTAGGCTGTATTTGCATTATATTTCTTTTAAGGTACAATTAAAATATTCTAGGAGAAAGTAAGACCACGCTCAGTAAATCTATCATCGGGCGAAAATAGAACATTTGTGCACTACATCAGCTTGACTTCTTAGGAGGTAAGGAACTAGGAAAAATCATATAAAAACTTAACAAGCTATTGTAAATGTGGCACCATAGAGAGAATTCCTGGTAATTCCAAGACAAAAAAAAATTCCAAAAAGAAAAAGTAGTGTTGTGAAATGTCGTATCACCATTGTCTCAAAGTTTAAGTTAATAATTATTTTTCTCAATAGTCCAAAAGATTTTAAAATTTGGTTGTTTTAAAAATATAATGCTCATTAAGTTATAAGTTTTTATTAGTTGGTCAATATTTTAACTTTTCTTGGGGCTTGGGATAGGGCCCTTGATGCTCAACTTTGCAAAACAAAAGATTAAACTTTTATTATACATGCACAAAAGCTTGAGCTTATTTTACACTACATATACTAACATCTCTTACATTTGTACAACTATAGTATGTAGTAGTGTTCTCAAAAAATGTTTCCCACTTACAGCTGAAAGTTTTCTACATGTTCATTTTGGGAGGAGCTTAGATGTTAATGTCCACTATTTAATTTTTTAATGATTTTATTTAGCCAGAGAGCAAAGGAAGAAAAAAACCCACATACCCAAATCTAAAAGAAAGATTAACATAAAAGACCTCAACTAATCTGAACATTATGTTAATAGAGGTTAACTGTAAGACAGTTTATGATGAATTCTGTTAGATATAACCAAGACTACTATAACTTTTTGTTTGTTTGAGAGGTTCTCCCTATGTAGTTGAGGCTGGCCTTGAACTCACTATGTAGCCCAGGCTGGCCTCAAACTTGCAGTGATCCTCCTGCCTCAGTCTCCTGAGTGCCAGGACAACAGGTGTGCGCAACCATTTTAGCTTATGATTTCAAAACAAAAAATTGAAACAAAAAATCACAACTTTCTTTGTGGCAGACAGTTTAAGCTTGAAGAGGACTGTTAGAAATCCTAAGGCCAAACAAAAAGAATCTTTCAAAAACCACCCATCAACTCATTTTAAAATACAGATGTAATCTATAAGCATAATACTTTCCTCTTCTATATTATGAAATACTGGTATCAAGTATGGATACTAGAGAAAAAATATACCACATGACCCAAGGAAGGTCTGAGAATCAGAGACAGAAATATGAGGCTTAGAATTGTGCAAAAAAGCTTTCAATTTCTTAAACCTGACACTTGGAGACTCTACATGAATAAATTCTGCTGGAGACTGGAAATCATGAAGGAAGTTCTGTGATATCAAACCACTGATAACTTACTTTTAAGTATTTTGCTGTTAAACATATGTTGTCCTAAGCAAGAGTTAAGTGTTCATGACGCTCATTAAAAAAAAAAAGAAAACAACACTGTCATTTTGTTTGGAAGAGGAAAATAATTGATAAAACTAACAAAATATTTGAGTAAGTACAAATGAAGAACTATGTAAAAAGAGGAACCATTATGAAATGTATGACTAAGTGTGTTGTGTGCAAGACTAAGGGACTTCTCAAAGTTGTTTTTGGTTTCTGGCTGCATATAAAAGTAAAAATAAGGGCGTTTTCATTCATATAGAGTAACAGTAAAATATTGCCTGGTTTATGCCGATTACTTTCACCTTACATTCTGAAACTGATTCAAGCTTCATTTTTCCAAAAGAGGGAGAGCAAAGCTGAAGAGTAAGTGAGAAAATTCACCAGTGGACTATATCATGAGGCTCCAAAGAGATTTGCCCGGGAGGGTAGACAAAAGAGAAAGGGCCACCGAATGTAAGCCGCCAAAGAGATGACAATCAGTCCCATGTGTAATTCGACTACTGGACCAAACCCCTCAGGCGGCTGCCTGCACAGTGAGGTGATCTGAGATTCAGTGCATTTTTGGCTTCTTCTCTTCCTTGAGTCCATCCTGGGGCAGGAAGTCAGTACAAGTCAAGGTGTGGAGCCCGTCAATTTAGACTGCGAACTCTAAGTTCCCTTTCAGCATTTCACAGCCTCTTTCCAGGACGTCCCCCACCCCCAAAAGTCGTGCACCGGTCTCTACTCCCATTAGAGAGACAGAAAGAGTGACAGACAGTTGTTGGGGCGGCCCCCTGGCCATAAGGAAACTGTGCCAGGGCCCGGGGCCAGAGAGAGACCACCAGCTGCAAGACTTTGGTTACCTTTTCACGCTGGTCCCAGCTATACTTCTTGGGCCGCTCTTCCTCGTTCTCCCGCCGCGACTCCTTCTCAGTCTTCCGCTCCTTAGAGAAAAAGCAGCCCATGATGCTGGCCTGCGGGTCTTGCCGGGCGGCACACTCGCTCAGGTACCTCCTGGAGTGTAGTGTGACTCCTGGACGCCCAGGCCCCGCAGCACTCCGGGACACCACTCCCGCGGATCACCCTCGCGGAGCAGTCCAGCCACCCGGTAGCCTCTGTTAGGCAGCCAGGCCCAGCACCCCGTTTTCTTTTCCCCTAGTCGCCCTGACTACCCACCGCAGCCAATGATTGCTCAGCGCTCATTGAGCCAATGAAAGCCTCGCAAGCAGCTCTGTGCAGCCTATGGACAGCGTCCCACGTAGTCACACCAATCCGCTTCTGGCTCCAGCGACAGCAGCCGGGCTGATGAGTTTGGCGTCCACACAGCAGACCCGGTCCCCAACTCGGCCCTGTCCTGCCCTCCCAGCACCGTCCCTCCTGGAACTCGGTGGGGCTTCGTAGCTTGTGAGTTGTTGGACTTCGTGTCAGGGTCTTTTTACCCTTGTTTCTGTTTCCCCAACGCTAGCAGCGGGAGGGATGCTAGTGGAATGTTGGGCTTGCTTTATGATGCAAACTGTGACATAACAGAGATTCCTGCTGACGAAGGAAGGCCCTGAAGTTTGGATTCCTTTACTCCTCCACTCCTCACCCTTTCCACCAGCTTTCTTAAAACTCATGTACCGCTCTAAAACTGCACAAGTCTTAGTAAAATAATTGTGTATCATCTCCCTATATGACCGGAGAATTTGAGACCAAAAGACATGTATCTTCCAGTCCCCTAGCCTGGCCCAAGTCCATCCTGGGCACTCAATAAAGTTTCAAGATTAGGATTCCGTGGTTTACTCCTGTAGTCTCAGATCCTCAGGAGACAGATGCAGGAGGATCTCTTGAGTTCAGGTGTTGGAGGTCAACCTGGGTGACATAGTGAGACATCATAGAAATAAAATGTTTGTGAAATGAATGGATAGTAGACTTTTAAAAATATATACACCAAATGTGAACATTACTTGGGTCAAATTTTACTACAAGACACATATATTGCTTATTTAATAAAAAAGGTAAATGGGGTTCTCAGATACAGTATTTTGACATCTCTGCTGGACACCAAATGCATATTTACCTGTTCAGGTTCAAATCTGGTTCTTTTGACTTTCCCACACTTAGTCACATCTACGGTGTATCCTAAATGAGCATCTGACTTGAGCATTAGGACGTTCCCCTTTTTGCTTCCTGTCCTTTATTACACAATCAGGATGAAAAATATGGTGCTAAGTATTAGAAATTACTGCACATTTGTGTTTCAGGTCTTAGGCAATAATAGGCCTTTGCCCAGTGCCCTTTTTCCATCTTCAGAGTCAGATGATAATTCTGTGTGAGGATGTTTTTGGGTTAGATCCTCAGTATATATTTTATATTCATAGAATGTTAAAAGTGTGGTCATTACATAGTGTAGTGGAGGAAGTGGAGATACAGAGACATGAAGGGACTAATCTGTGGTCACAATGAGAGTGATTGAACAGGGAGCCTAGAGCCTATGTTGTCCACAAGTTTAAATCTGCTCCTTTTTCATTCACTGAAAGTATGGAACTAAATAAGCATCTGCTTTGCCCTTCTGATGCCTATGGTGACCAAACAACTAACACATGAACAGACAATGCAACAAAATGAATTTTAGAGGAACACTTTCTAAAACTCTCATTGTTTTTGGAATATTCATTAATGAGATTCAAACCTAAAACAAACCTGTATCCATCAGTGATCTTTTCAGAAACCCTAAAATAAAAGTGAAAATCCTTTCTGTTAATTCCAATCCCACCATCACTCTTACACAAATTTTAATTAAGTTAAATTACAAAAAGCAGGTATTAGAAAGCCAATGGACAGAGCTAATGGTCTCTCATGCTCTTTTCCCCCTCTATCTTACTCTTTTATTCTTTTCTCCCTCTGTTTTCTCTTCCCCCATGAATTCTCATCACCATTTTATACAGACCATCTCTTCACTTACTAATGAGCCTCTACATGACTGGTAACAGCTGTTCCATCTTGATTCTTCCTGGCTTTTCTGTCCAAGTGCATGCTATAGTCTTTAAATCTTAGTTCAGACTCTCAAGGGAGATACTGTGATAAGTTGCTGGGCAGTCAGTAATGGATTGTCTATAGCTCAGTATGCATCCCTGGTCTAATTGCTGTACCAGCAGGGATGAAGTCTATAATACAAACCTGATTGGGAGCAGGTCCTGAAAATGAATGTGCTAGTAGCTCTAATTCTGCAAGTCCAGGCAGAGATGAATTACTCCTTCTACTTATACTTTGTGGCTTCTTTTTTTCTTTCTATTTTGTTTTATTTTTGAGGCCAGTCCAAGCAGGCCTCAAACTGACAGACCTTATGCCTCAGGCTCTTGAGTATAAGAATTATCAAATGTACCATCACGTTCAACACACTGTCTTCTTTTCTGTAGAATACTGCCCTTTGCCTTCATCTTAATGTATATATTCATCTATGTTAAAATGTTGGGTTGTGGGTTTATGCCTGGCCACAAGCTGGAGAGATAGTTCTGGGTCCCTTATTTGTTGACCACAGAAGTGCCATAGTAACTTCTGCAAAGATAGTTTTGAAGTGGTATACCTCTACAGCATGAATAAGTCAATTACCCCAGGAAAGTTAACTGGAAAATTCCCCATGCTTGAGTTGACTTGACACATCCTTGCTCACTCTGGATTCACCTAAGGAAACATCAAGTGAAGGAGGAAGGAAGGGGAGTAGTGTTTCAGTTATCTATGGCTGCACAACAAATCACTTGCTATGGCTTGTGTCTGGATGTCCCCCCAAAGCCTCATACAGTTATGGGGCGGTCTTCTAGAGTTTATGATTGATCCATGGTCCAATGTTGGGATTATGGGTGTGAGTGCTACAGCTGCCCTGTGGCAGGTAGTTTGCATATAATGTAAAGGAGGGAAAGAGACTTGCTGCTGCTCCTCCCTTTCGCTCTTTTTCCTTTGCTGTCTCCTGCCATGAACTGTTCTCCTCTGCCAGGTGCCACCCTGCCTTGGAGCCAGCTGATTATGGACTGAAACTTCCACAAACTATGAGCTAAATAGACCCTTTCTCCCTTTAATTCTGAGTGTCAGGTATTTTGCCTCAGCAACGAGAGAAAAGTAACCAAGACACCACTTAATATGTAATGGCTTAAAACAGCATTTATTTTACTCATGAATCTGCATTTTAGGCAAGGGGCAGCAGGAACAACTCAACGGTGTTCCATAGTATGTTCAAAGGCTTGTTTGGGATAACTAACTCACATAGTTAGGAGGGCTAACCAAGAGTCATTGCAAATGAAATCTCGGGGCCTCTTCACATGCTCTTCACAGCAACATGGCTTTGGGGTAATTGATCTACATATGGCAGCAATGGCAAAACTTTTAGAGGCCAAGTGCCCAAACTGCAACTCAAAACCCTCGTATTTATTGTGAAGTGCCAACACTGCAATTAAACCTGAATAGCCAATGCTTAGCTGCTGGGACAAATTGGCTCCCATACCAAAAGAGAGGGCTCTGCATGCCTACTGTGACATGTGCCATAGGTTCACCACCCATGCCACATGGCATACACATGACTCCAAGGGAAAGGGCTCCAAAGCAATAAGTCTCAGAAGCCGCACAGCATCACTTCCACTGAGTTCTTTTGGTCAACTGCAGTCCAGCTTGACTCATAAAGTGAGAAGACCAAACAAGGGAAATGAATACTATATGGTGTAGGTCTTTGAGTTGTCCTCTCTGAAGTTGGCTACCATAGTAAGTATTAATGTATTACCCATGTACCAAAGAAGAGGATTGGAAGGTTTTTAAAAATTCTACAAGCAGATAACTTTTTGATACACAAAGTATTATTATACCTAATATATAGGTCCTATGAGTTGACTGAAAACAACAATAACATAATTGAAAAAGGCCAAGATCATAACTAGGTAGAGAAGGGTTTACAAATAACCAACAAACATTTGAAAAGATGCTCAATCATAGTAGTGAGCAAATACAGATTAAATAACAGTTTTCAGTTTTTATCCACTGACTTACATACAAAAATATTAAATACTGATGATATTCAGTGTTGGTTATTCATTAAATACTGATGATATTCAGTGGGCAGTCATAGAAGTGTGAATTGCTGTGTACCTTGAGAATGTAACATGGAAGCCTGCATTAAGACATGAAATGTTGGGTGTGCTGGTACATGCCTGTAATCTCAGCACTTGGGAGGCTGAGGAAAGAGGATCACTGCAAGTTCAAGGCCAACCTGGGCTATATAGTGAGTTCAAGGCCATCTTGGACTACATAGTAGACCCTGTCTCAAAAAAACCCAAAACAAAACAAAAAAATATATCCACCATCCTTGAGATCAGTCTCACACCACCATAAGTAACTATTTGTCAGCTTCCAAATATAGCCAGATAAAATTTTTGAGACAGTATTTCTTCACACACACACACACACAGAGAGAGAGAGAGAGAGAGAGAGAGAGAGAGAGAGAGAGAGAGAGAGAACAAAAAATAAAGAACATGTAACAGACAGTTCAAATTTGGTGCAAAAGAGGAAGTACAGGATAGATTTCTAGGGGGAAGGGGACAATAAAGGAATCAAGAAAAACTTGGCAGAAGTGAATGGCAGAAGCATAAACTATTGTAATTCTAGTAACTTTTTATATCAAAACAATCCCAATGGTCAGTATATCTAAAACACAATTTCTGGACCATAATAAAATCAGTTTTTGTGGAATTTCAATTTTCTAATTATTCATTTCAGTACTTTTTACAAGTGGCAAGCTGATAAAAAAAAAAAAACCATAGAGTGAATCAGTGTTTTAGAAAATCTGTTTTTATCCTTAGAATTTTACTTAAAAAAGAGTGACTTCCCATTTCACCCTCACTAAATGTATACCTCACTTCCTATGTACACCAAAAAGATCTCCATCTGACATGTAGGTTCCAACTCACATAATTGTTATTCACCAACATCTAGGTAAGGTAGTTTATAAACTTTAAAAATAGTGTGGAAAAAGACTTGGACAAAATAACTGTTGTCACAAGACAAAAGTGTTAATGAAAAGATGCATAATACCCAGCTACTTGGGAGGCTGAGGTGGGGAGGATTTGAAGCCAGCTTGGGCAGTTTAGTGTCTCAAAATTTAAAAAAAAAAGTAAAAAGGACTAGGGATGTAGCTTTGTGGTCCTAGTTTTAATCTCAAGGAAAGGAATGTATGTATAATAATAGTTTCAAAATCTTAGAAAATGG